TTTAAAGAATCAATACAGGGACTCTGTCGTTGTTGTTCTCTATTTTAACTCATACTGTAGAAATCAACCCAATTGCAGTAATTAATTTCTGTAATAAATCAGTTTAAAGCCCATTCTAATGATGAACAATGCGCAGAAGAATTTGCACAGTATTTTCAATAAATCCACCGTCCATCTGCTTTAAGCTTCATATCCTGTTTAAAGTTTCTTTTTTTTCTGTATGCAAAGTAATGTTATGTAAGCTCACCAGACACTAATATAACAATCTGTAAAATCACACTTGTCCTCAACTGTAAAGCAATAAAAAGTACAGCACAGAAATGTAAGTTCCAAACCAATCAAATTCAAAATTTGATTGACAGTTAATACACACAAATGACCTTGATACATGCAGCAAGAAAGGACTGAAAATATTTTCTTCATGTTTTGTAGCCATGACGGCTGAGACATCAATGAGCAACAGAGAGAGGACAGCTGTTATTTTCGAGAAGTTGTGAAGCAAAAGTTGTGATCCTTAGGTCAGACATGTTGAGAAATGTGTTTCAGACGTCAGCAGATGTTTTCACAAAGTTCAGACTGAGGTAAAATATACAAATGAAGAAAAGAGAATGAGCGCCTCCTGTCGGAAAACAGGTGAACCTGAGAGAGAGGTCATAGATTTGTTTTTGACAATGTTGTAAACTTTAGTGTGTATTAGCTGTATTATTGACTCAGTGTGTTAGCTCTTCACTGTTAGTACAATCAGAGAGGACCTGTCAATGTGTCTGACAAACACTGAGGGTGAAGTTAGTGCAGTAAGACAGCTGTTAATCTCCACTGAAGAAGTTGTTGCAGATAAAAGCCATTCTCAGAGGCAGCGGCGGAGAGACTGACTGGACAGTCGGTCAGTGAAGGTGAGGTTAGTCACTACAGTGAGAAGCTGTGGACTTCAAGTGAAGCCCGGACCCGGATGAAGCGTCTTACCCCGTTGCTCTGTGTGGACTGTATGGACTGCTCGCTGGTGGAGGAGCAGGTGCTCATGCGGTCTATGTCCTTACTGTGGGTGGAGTGACGGTGATGAGAGGGCGTCCCATGACTCCCTCGGCCCAGAGAGTCTCCCCCTCCACCATTGCTGTCACTGGGGTAGGAGAAGGAGCCAGGCCTGCTGCCATGAGAGGGAGGAATGTTGGGGACCATAGCCCAGAAAGTGTTGCCTTTGTGAGCCGGACTGGAGGGGACAAAGGAGTCCTTCCCTCCGTTTACTCCTCCCACAGGAGGCTGAGGTGATATCAGAGGAGAGACTGTCCCAACTTTGGGGTTTTTTTGGGGCAAATTCAGTGGAGCCACAGCCATCTGTGGAATTCCAGCTAGTTTATGTTTTTGTGTTTCTTCATTTCCTCCTAGAGCCTGTCTGCCCTCCGAGCTGCCTGATGACCTGTTACTGTTATTACTGTTATTTCCGTGAGAGTTGTCCGCCATCTTCACCCTACGCATCTCTGAGGCCACCACGTCTCCGTTTGTGGTGGTAGAGTCAGAGAAAGGGTTAGAGGGGTGGGGATGAGGGTGGCAGGGGGACCACATACCTGCTGATCTGTCGGGCCCCTCGGGGCCCAGGGGTTGATGATGGTGGTGTACAGGCTGGGGGAGACGTGAGGACGGCTGGGGGATACGGGAAGGTCTAGAGCGAGGACCGCACAGAGAAGAGGAATTGCCCCCTGATCCTCCCGATCCACCCCCGCCTCCTCCTCCCATGTTGGAGCTCGTATTGGAGCTGCTGCCTCCCGGCAGACCACCAGTGCTGCTACCGCTGGGTGGACCACCAGACCCACTGCCACCCACGTGGTTCCTCTGGTACTCTATAGGGGATGTCAGAGCTGTCGATGAAGAAAAGGGACAACATTTAACATGTTGTAAATAACATTTTAACATTTCCTTCAGACTCCAGAGTCTTGTCAGTGGTGATGTCGTACCGTTGAGGAAATTCCGCTGGTTCTCCAGTATCTGGCTGACCTGGTGGACCCAGACCTGACTGACCCCAGGGCTGGTTGAGTGGAGAGTGTACCTCTCTATGTTACCACTGGTTGATCTGGAAGTAAGTGTAAACTTGCAGGGATCGTCTGCATTTTCTTCTAGACCCAGCCAGCTCACCTAAAGCAAAAAGGACATGAAAAAAAGAAGAGGATTAAACATAAAAGACACATGACAAAGATTTTTACCTCCAGACTGAGACTTAATTGGCCTTACCTTGATGCTGTTCTTAAAGAGGTAGCCAGGAGTGGAGAAGCCCTTCTTTTTGTCTAGAGGTTCACTGAAAATGACAATCTGCTCAAACAAGAAGACTCTCCTCTCTTTCATTCTGGACAGAAGTCCTCCGTCCTGGTCGGAGACCATGAAAGTGTCCTGGAGGAGCAATCGACCCTGAGCCACAATTTTACCCTGAGGAAAAAAAAGATGAAGAAATATTTTGAGGAGAGATGATTGTACAAACTCAAAAAAATACAGATACACTGACCCCGAGCTATTGTTAAATTTTCTACTGCTGTAAAAAAAACACAGACACAAGAACTAGAACCCTGTGGAGATGTCTTACATCAAAGCCTTGCAGGCGGCCAACATTCATCATGTCGTTGCAGCGTTTGGGGACCACACACATCACCTCCACAGCTTTCTACAGGAAGAAGAGCAGAGAGAAACAAACATTTAGAAACAAATTCCTTCCATTAGAGTCAAATATATACTAGTCACTCTGGTGATCAGGCGAGTTCAACACATAGATTATAAAGAATTATGGCGTTAGACTGACTGACCTCCAACTCGGATGTGTCAACTGCAGCCTTCTTAGAGATTTTGAGAAGATCCTGTGAGGACGGTGAGAAGGAACAGAGACATAATGAGCATGGGGAGTGTTACCTGCTGACCACCTGCAGGCAGAAAACACTGTGGCAGAGCTACCTTCAGTAACAGCTGGTACTTCATGATGCGCTGAACTGGTTTGATGAGCAGATCAGTGATCTGCAGCCTGTGGCCCAGACGCTGCTTCAGGTCCTAATGAAAGATTAAATGGATTTTACTCTTACTGGTGACCCGTTCAACAGTTCAGAAAAAAAATGAAAACAAAGTAAAAAGGTTTAAGAATCTTACTTCAAAGTAGGTGTCTATGTACTCTGACACAATGTGCTCTGATTTGGGCTTGTTCTGACAGTACACGATGTACATGTGCAGCCTCCGCTCCTGTAGGTGAAATTGAACCGAATGGTTAAAACGTGGGATTTGAAAATTCTATTATTTAATTATTTATTTTTCAAAAAAGCTTGATCTGGACATGAGAAGGCAAGTGTGAGGTGATTTGGACGTGTGATGATTTGGACCGAGGGATAATACTGGAAATATGTCAAAAAATGTAGGACAATGAAGAAGACTCATGTTGGAATGAATAGAGACACTTGAAAGTGGTTAAAATGACAGCAGAAAAAAACAAGGCGGAGAAGATGAAGACAGCTGAAGGAATAAGAAAATGAAAAAAAATAGATGTCCTCAATGTCAATCTGTGTTTCACCTGTTTGACAAACAATGTCGCGAGCCTGTCTGGATCTTCCAAACATTTCTCAAGTTCTCCCAGGAAAAAACTGTGATGAGAAGATAAAAAAAAAACAAAACTTTTTGTTACAGAACTGCGTGAATCTAATTTAATAAATGAACCGGCTGCCCATTTACTCTTTGTGCCAGTCATAAATCTGATGGATGTTTCCAAAGACTATCTTGTCTTTTCCTCTCATGTCATCAGGAACACCCTCCTCTTTCATTCTACTCATGTAGCCCTGAGGGAAAGAAGGCAAAATATCAGTACAGTGAAGTAAAATACATATTATATTTTTGTAAAATAATTTTTATTTTTTTTACCTCAACCACAGATCCCAGGTCCCTGACATAGTCTCGTTCAGTCTCGACCAGCTCCAGAAGCACATAACTGTGGGACACAATAATTAGGAATGTAAATCTGTAAGACAACCTGAGATGTGAGTGAACATCAGGAGTGATCTATATAACCACACAGGTACAACAACTTGATTTAATGATTGGACTGAAGCAGCTTTTGTTTACTGAGAGACTGAGTTGACACTGGTTTGTATCTTACTGTCTCCTCTTGAGGAAGCCAGACTTGCGCTCATCAAGCTCATCGATGGGTGAGGAAGAGGAGAGGAGTGAGTTGTCAGAGGGGTTAAAAGAAGGAGAGCTGCTGTCGCCTTGTTCTACTGACAGAGAGCTGGGTCGATCCTCCAGGGACTGAGGAAGAAGAGAAACCAATGAAGAATAACAGAGCTGTAATCGGATGACATCTAATTTCACTTTATTTTTAGTTTTCTAATGGATCAGAATGACCCCTGATTACTATGGTACGCGGCATGTGGACAACTATTTGTTGGGTGTGTATTTGGGCTTTTGGCCAAGGTGCATTTTCCATTTGTTGGAACAGGGGACAGCTGGCACTGTGAGTCAGGGCGAGTGTGTGTGTGTGTGTGTGTGTGAGTGTGTGTGTGTGCTGGTACAAACATAAACTGGAATTGTTCTGTGAACAAATGTGCCACATTGGCTTGTACTTGTGACTTCATCCTATGACTTTCATCTCACCATTTTGCTTTTCACCAGCTCCTCGATGGCACTGACCAGTTCAGCAGCACTGGGCGTCTCTGAGCTGCTGGGACGAGTGGACAGACGACAGGCAGACTGCAAAAGAGGGAGAAAAAGTAATTTAGAAATATAAAACAAAAAAAGGAAACTGTAAAGCCATGTGATGCTAAACGCTTATATTTAAATGATTATTGTCACAGACATCAACATCTAGTGTCAGGCTCACCATGGCTGTGTTTGGACCTGGATATTCCACTCATACTCCACAAATAAGGAGTAACTGACATCTCCCTGATAAGAGGGTTAACTGGGGTCACGTTAGGACCAGAGTTTATGGGAGGGATTAGGTCAAAGGTCTGGGATTGGACTTCTCTTCAAACAGGAGCACTACAGTTGGTCGAAAACTTAAATATGTGATCAACAATGCACCGGGGGAGCATTTTTCTCCTGATCATGATTCAGTGTACAACAGGACTGAGGGGACAGGAGTTTTAGTCTGACAATCTGACCACACTGCAAGACATGTGACGAGGAGTATATAATCCAGCCTTATATGTTTTATTATACTCCATGAAAGGACATTTCACAGACACAGACTGAAATAAAAAGGCACAGACTGAACGGGGGACACAGTCAAGAGAAGGTGACGAGGTGGTTTCACATGGAAAGGTGAGGAAACTGGATGAGAATAGAAGCAGGACAGAAATCAACATAATGCTACAGAGAGGCAGGAAACATGCATCAAGAAAATAGGAGGAAAAGAAGAAACGTGATTAGTGTTTGAACCAAGGCTTTGTATGTTCTTCACTTCAATTAAGACAGGGTTCAAAAACAAGAATATCCCAGATAAAGTAAATCATCAGACTTAGACAGATACTTTCTGAAAGTAAATGTTTTTCTCTGCTGTTTTTACATTTCCATCCTTCATCCCATTATTGTAAATTCATTTTGACTTTGTCACCACATTGTTGAAGGCGCACAGTGATGTGTGGTTTTATACGTAAAAAACGAACAAATCATGTGTTGTGTTAAGGTTGGATTAAATCATAAGACATTCTCAATGTGACTGTAAATCATGGCTCCCACATGGACCACACGTCTGTTGTTGCAGTTACAGTGTTTATGGAGCCACCAACCTTGTCGTCCTGGGAGTCGGGCTGAAGCAGACTGTGTTGTTGAATGGCCATGGGTGGAGGCAGGGGGACGGCATCGGCCCCCTCTTCTCCTTCCTCCTCACCACAGCTCTGCATGCCTGAAGAGGAGGACTTGGACAAGGTTCCGCTGCTCAGGCCCTCGTTGCGCATACGCTGCAGAAAGAAGTGAGTCGTGGATTTTAGAGACAGTTAAAGGCGGAGATGTATGTAATGCTTTCACAACAACCATGTAAAAAATGAGAGCAGACGTAGGTGAAACAATGGAAGTCAATGCAAGGGTTTCTATTTTTAAGAAACCAGTGCAATATATTCTCCTTCTAACCAGTTTGAGTAATAATATAGAGTATTTTATTTTTATTAATAATATTTTTTACTGTTTTTTGTTATTAAGTATTCTACCTTGGCACTAAATTCTTCATTAATTGATATTTCTTCTCTTCTGTGTCATTCTCTGTCCTCTGTCCTGTTGCTGCACGTCAATTTCCCCAGTGTGAGATCTATAAATCTAATCCAATCTAATCTAATGCAATCCAATCTACTTTAATCTAATCTAATCAAATCTAATCCAAATTGTACACCAAGGAATAGAAACAACTCACTGACAATGGAATTGTCCAATTCCGATCTGGTTGAAGGCGATTTACTTTGTCTTTTGGCAAGACCGCTTTAAAATGGGACTTTAATTTGCGACCATGTTGTAATTTCTGTTTCTTATAAACGGTCCATTGTTTTGACAAAAGAAAAAAACTCCATTCTTCGACTATTTTTACCTCCTCCAGCGTCTCGTCCTGCGGTGTGGCAGCACTGTCATCAGAATCCTTCTGCGAGCCAGGAATTATGTCCATATTCTTCCGTGCCCCATCACGGTTCTTCTTGTGCTTGTGGGCGAGCTTCTTCACGTGACCATCGGCCTTTCCAGAGCTGAGCCGCCTCACTGGACTGGTCAGCCACTTCCTCAGAGTGTTCCCTGGACGTTTGGGCCCTGGTGAGCTGTGGGGGCCAAGGGTCTGACTGGAGCCTGGCTGCAGCGTGTCGTTACTGGACACTGACAGGGTGTCTGAAAGAGAAGAGGAGAAGAAGAAGAAGTGGATTTTAGTTTAAACCTGTTAAACCACTGCTTCTGGATGTTTCTATGTTGCTTCTCTTATTGTTTCTTTTGTTCAATGATCTGTTTTATTCAACCTCAGTAATGGAGGCATTTTAACAAGCTCTTAGCAGCAACATGTGAATCTACACTATCGTAACAAGAGAAAGAATAGAATGAACACAGCTTCTATTCAAGGTCTTTTACAAATTTCTCAGTTGATTAAAGTAAAATCTGCTACACACACACAGTGTGTGTATGTGTGTGTGTCTTTGTTGCTTCCAGTGTTTTATTTTGTTATGTGCAGTGGGCAGACTGGCCCTCACACTGATATAGCTCCTTTGGGAATCTGTGGGTGGAGAAGATTCTCTTGGAAAAGAAAGAGAACAATGTGAAAATACCACAGAATAAAAGGACGCTCGTGGCTGTGTCTGAATATTTTACTCAGACACCTGTGTGTCTGCTCATGTTCAACAGAATTAACAGATCCAACAACAATAATCTGTAGACCAGACCAGATGCCCCCCCCCCCCCACTCTCCCTGAGTTGGACTTTAGGCTTAACAGAAAAAACTCAGTCAGGCTTCCTATCACTGCCTGACTAAGTTTGACGAATGTTTTAAGAGCTTCCCGAACTTCTGCTGCAACTGGCAAACAATCAGAATAAAACATTGACCTGAGGACGAGGACAAAATCTTCGCTGTAGTACAGTACCACTGAACACAGAGGCACTGACTGTAAGAACGGGTGAGGAGGCTGCAGTCGACTGAAGGTTATGAAGATTCCCTCCTACATCAGTCTGATGTTTCTTAGAAGACACTGACTTCCTACAGCAGGCAAGGAAAGTTTAAATCCAAATGATTCTTGACAGGAGAGAGAAAAGTAAAAAGTCAAACACATTCATTCTTCAGCCTCTCTGTCAAATTGAGTGGTTTTATTTAATAAGGATACAGCTGCCACTGATTAAACTCATGTTTTTGTTTGAAAATTGCAGGTGTGAAAATATTGTCTTCATTTATTGGACACTTTAGCAAAGACCTGCCTTGGTGAGTGAGTGAACACATTTGCATGTCAGCCTTGAGCCTTCAGGATACCTTCTTGGGTTTTTTTTTTTTTTTTTACTTTTTCTGACAAAATAATCCCTGGGGTTTTTTTACTGCCACCAAAAAAAATCGATGCTAAATGTAAAGTATCAGCTGATACATGCATTTTCAGAGACAAAATAGTCCCTGGGTTTTTTTAACTGCCACCAAAAATAGTCGCTTCTAAAGTAGTAAAGTAGCACTGAGAGGGAGCACTGGAACCATTTGGATGGAGTAACGCTCTGATTCACATGGCCATGTGTTCTGCCACTGGAGATCCAAGTCTCTCGCATACAGAAGGTACAGTGAAGCACCCATTTTGTAAACTGGATGGAAATAATATTAATGTACATATATGTGGAGGCAAAAACACAGGGCCTTTGTTGGATTTTAGCTTTGTAAGCGTGTGTGTGCGTGTGTTCTCTACCTGCCCTTTATTACTTCCCCTGCACTAAAGTAAATGAAATCCAGAGTCACAGCAGAGTGTTACGATCTCCGACTGGAATGTTTTTGTCATGGCTAGAAATCATGGAGCTTATTTAAAGCTGTAATTCTGATGACACTGAATTCCTTTACATTTACTGTTGGTCTCCAACGTCTAATCTGAACGAACTCGACTGAAACTCTAGTTGTTTTTACTGAAAAACAGAAACACAGGAGCTAAACTCATAGGGCTTTAAACTCCTTGTAAATGACCACAATTTACACGTGTATTGTTTTTGTTTCCTTTTGTCAACCAGATATGTGTGATTTTACTGCAGTATCTGAAGGTAGATGAACAACATGACCTGGTATTCTGTGATTTTAAAGGAAGAAAAACAGGGAGTCAGCTCATCCCATGTGGAGCAAATTGCCCAGGCTTCCTATCACTGCCTGACTGAGTTTGACAAATGCTGTACATTTTAAATGTTGCAACACAGAATGAATGGCAAGTACAGGACTGTCAGTAATCTTAGACCGATTGTTTTGTTCAAAAAAGCAAACAACAATTTTACTTTAAAGCGTGACATGGTTATGGTGTTAAATCATTTATTATGTAATTTCTCCAGCCATTGCAAATATTGTATTTGTGATTTTATTTGTTAAACAATTTACTATATTTTATTAATTTTCAATTCAATATCCACAAACTCACACAACACAAACTAAACTCTGTGGTAATGTTTTTCTACTTTGATGCTATACCACGTGGTATATGATGTCTTAAATTGTGTGATTTTTTATCATTCTTTTATTATTTTTATGAAGTGATATTCGGACACTTTGACAGTTAGTATTCAGGACGATGTTCAGGCCCTGTTAGACAGATGACGGTTTGTTAAAAGGATGTAAATGGATCAAACATGTGGTGAGTAGCACTGACATTCACATTCCACTTCAGTGTAAAATAACCCTGACACTCACACATACACACAAACACGAACACAGAGGGCGCAACCTTTGACCTTCACCCTGCAGGGATCATGTCATAGTTAGGACACAGCTCTGGAGCAGCTGCTCAGGCTTTCACTCATGGGAAACCAAAACTGCTAGCACATCTTTTGGAGGCAGAAGCTGTCTAAGAAATGTATCACTTGACACAATATATTCTTAGAGCACTATTAACATAGCACTGGTACCTACTAGCACAGGGCTTATGCACTTCATATCTTCAGAAGATCAGTCCAATTTCAACAAACTATCATCCTACAAAAAAGGCACATTTGTTCTGGAGCTCCTAACATGCCGCCATAACTCAGCCACTCCTCATTCACACTAATGCAAAGAACATGTCAGATTTACAACTCATGTGTGTGTGACTCAGAATAGGAAGAGAGGGAGGGGCTGCTGCACAACTGGGCTGATCCCAGAAGAAGACGGTGCAGCTCTACCGAAGCATGCCTCAGATTCCAGAGGTGTCACCAGGGGAGCTTCTTTGGTGTGGTCTCATCTTTACCAAAAGTGAAACAAACAAACTCTAAACTTGTGATTTTAGAGACTAAACTGCTGCAGTGAGTGAAGCTCGGGGGGTGGGGGTTGGG